TTCTCTAACTCCCGTAATTCTTGGAATTTCGAACTAAAATTTTGCAAACACCCCCAGTTAGTAATTATGTAGTATAGTCCGTATGCCAAGTTTCACTATGATAGACTGATTTACCAAGAAGTTATAGCCATAAATGTATTTGCTGTTGCAGCGCTGCTCAAGCGGTGCCCGCGGCTGTTGTTGATGTTGCTGTTTGGTTGACTGCGAAAATGCTTACACAGACACGAATAGATGCGCATAGGCATACATACACTCACACAGATGCAATTGCTATGTAAATGTGCAATTATACACCCTTTACGTGAGTTCGAATACCGCGAAAGGTAAAATCGATCATTGAATTTTTTTTTATTTTCGTAATTTTTTTATTTTCTATAATTATTGTAAACATATGTACAGAGTATTTCAAAGTCGGGACACCCGACTTTAGCTTTTTTACTTGTTTTTTTATTTTCCTTCCCCACTTCCCCGATAATGGAGTTTTTCCTTAACGCTGTTCTTATAATCACCTATATCTCAAAGACTATAAGACCTAGAGACATCAAATTTGAAGTCCAAGATACCTTATGTCAATACGCAGAAAATGTATTTTTTTTTAATTTCCCTTCCTCCCTCCTCTCCACCGCAATCACTGATTTTCCATAACTCCCGAAATTCTTGGAGTTTTTCATTAAAATTCGGAAGTAAGGAGGCACTCCAAATTAAACAAATTGGAAGTCAAAGGGTCATAGTTGTGATACCAAGATACAAGCTCGAGAGAGTTGGTTGTGTAGTCTTTAGCCTGATATTTAGAAACCGTGGAAATAAATTCATCATTGGAGGAGACTTCAATGCCAAAAGCAGACTCTGGGAAACTTTAGAACGGATACGAGGAGCACAAAAAATGACCAACTTCTTGCTAAAGCTTCCACTAATGCAACCTCAAGGCATTCACTGTGGACTTTGGCTAAAAAGTACAAGCAGCAAGTGACTCCATAGTTTCCAAACAAAACGCCTGAACTTTCAATTTGGGTTTCGAAAATCCCACGGAACACCAGAACAATTAAATAGGGTAGTAAATTTCACTAAGGAGTACGTGGTGGCGGCGTACTTGGACATAAGGCAGGCTTTTGACAGGTCTCACAAAATTTTTTTCAACTTTTCTGGATACTACGGAGCTACCTCGCAGACAGGATTTTCACGGTGGTGAAGGCAGCGTCTTGGAGCCCACCCTCTATACCTTATTTACACACGATATGTCCAATGGCACTACGATTCCTATTGAAGACCCGCTAATCGCTACCTACGCAAATGGCACAGCCATCCTGACTAGAAACAATCGCATATTTGAAGCTACAGATATTTTGCAGCAGTACCTAGAGAGCTTCGAAATGTGGGCAAATCGCTGGAATATTGGCATCAACGCAAGCAAATGCGCCAATGTCACCTACGCTCTGCGCTAGATGAGCTGTTCTGGCGTCCCATTGCAGGACCAGCTGTTACATCATTTCAAGAGCTACAAATATTTGGGCGTACATTTGGACAGGCGCCACACGCGCCTAAGACACTAAGTGATAGAACTAACAAAATGAGATGGCTCCTAACCAGCAAAAAACTATCACTTAGAAACAAAATCACTGTTTATAAGTCCTGCCTCGCTCCCTCTTGGCGATCTGACTTGCAAGTATATGGAATCGCTGTAAAATCACACCTGGAGAAAATCCGGATCCTGCAAGCGAAAACCCTTCGCCTACTAACAGGTGCCCCCTGGTACATGAAAACGGGACACATAGAAAATGATCTAGGGGCGCAAAAGGTTGACGACATGCTAAATAAGCAGGCTGCTCAATATATGGAGTGCCTGCGAACAGACGCAAATGTATAAGCAAGGCGTCTGCTGAAACGACGAAGAAAAAGAAGAAGAATAGTGAGAAGGAGCCTAATCTTGCCAATATATATATTTATATAAAGTATAAATAATTAATAATTAAAGGAAATAAATAATTAAATAAGAATAAAATCTCAGTTTAAACTGCATTTGTATTTTTCTATAAGTTTAATTAAAGTTATTTTAAATAATAACAGTATAATTAAAATTTTTAAATGTAATAAAAAAACACTGTGCCGAGACATAATCTAGCAAATGGTGATGCGAAAATGAAGCCAACATTAAACACAAGGAATTACCGTAAGAATGACGTTGTAGATATAGTAAGAGAAAACAAGAAAGGAATGCTAAAGTCGAGCAGACTCAACTCTTAAATACCCTGTACCACCCCACAAAAAAGTAATTAAATTAATGAATTAATTTAATTTAATTAATTAATTAATTAATTTAATTTAATTAATTGACTAAATTAATTTAATTAATTAACTAAATTAAATATAAAATATTCCATGCATGCATACATACATTTACATTTACATCAGAATCGTGCCTAATGCGTGTTTGTGTACTTGTACATATGTATGTATGTGTGCATTGGGCCTGGTTATATGGCTATAACTTTCATTCCGATCGTTCTATCATAATGAAACTTGGTATACGGATATATAATCACTAACCTAATGTGACTACCAAATTTTTAATTCCAAGAATTACGGGAGTTATAGAAAATCGTTAATAGGGGGGGAGTGGGGGGGTGGATCAGAAAAAATGAACTAACTCGTCCTTTCTCGGGCTCAGGAGAATCTGTATACCAAGTTTGGTATAGCTCTTATACTTTCGGAGATCCTTGCGTTCATACAGACAGACAGACGGACAGACGGACATGGCTATATCGACTCGGATTGTCATGCTGATCAAGAATATATATATTTTGTGGGATCTACCAAGCCTCCTTCTGTGTGTTCCATGTGCACTCGCACAAAACTAATATACCCTTGTACCCTTTGGGTACAGGGTATAATAATCTGATATGGAGAAGCACGCGACCGTTGACACCGACTCAAAAAGTAACAATCATTCTACCTACATTATTGTAGGTGAATACACAATTATTTGTTTACTTTTTTTTTTAGTGAATGTGAAGTACACTAACTAATGTGTTTGAATATGGGTAGACCTACTAAACGTGCTACTCATATGAAACAAAGATCCTTTCACCATTTTCACCATTTCCTAACGAATTCGTCGTGGATATGCAAAGACAATCTTAGGGTGTGCAGAGTAATTAATGTCTGGTGCATATTCGAACGCAAAGCGAATGTTAATGCACTACTGGTTTGCTGCCTCTCTCTGTGGCGTTCTCTGAATGTGTCTTTATTCAGTTTTCGAGCAATTTATGTTAGAATTGTTTGAAGTCGGTTTTTTATACTCTGTACATGAAATGTACAAGATTATATTAGGTTGAGCTGAGCGGGAGCTGAAAAATATAACAGGCAGAAGGGGGCGTGGCAGACCCCAAAGTATACATATTCTTGATCAGCATGACAAGACGAGTCGATCTATGTCTGTCTGTTCGCCTCTCCGTATGTATGAACACATGGATCTCAGAGACTATAAGAGATAGAGACACCAAATTTTTGCACGCAGATGCGTTATGTGTGTACGCTGGGCTGAGACTATAAGACCCAGGAGCACCAAATAAAAAAATAAATAAAAATAAATAATAAATAAATAAAAATAAAAAGTTCAAGATGCCTTATGTAAAAATGTAGAAAATGTGTTTTCTGGAATTTTTTTGTTGGTCCTATTTATGTCAACCTACCGATATCATGGATTTATAAATAACTTTACTTTTAAATAATTAGCTGAAGGCAGTATGAGTCGAGGGACTTCGAACACCACCCACTAGCCGACGAACTCAAGCCGGAACCTAATAATAGCGTGCGTTTTCAATCATACACACACCACCTCGTCTAATCCAATGGGCTATTTTCTATACCCGTTACAATTTTAAGCTTTAGCTGGCCCACACCGGCCAGGGTACAACCCCTCGAGATTCTTTAGGAAACTGGTAGGAGACAGCTTAAATATCAAGTTGACTCCATCCTTAGTCAATATCCATCACGTCTAATGGAGCTGCAATTACATTAATCAAAGAGGTAAGTCCTCATTCGACAACGTATTAATTTATAACCTACTTATATGCAATAGCGGGAACGACCTAACATTCATCACTAAAAGTCCTTATTATGAAACTAGGGCACCACCACCTAGAAACCCAAAAAATATGAATTATGGGGTATTATGTGCGACTACTGACTAAGAACAACAGTGGGACTGTTGGGACTGCTGAGCTGAACAACTTGGTTGGTCTCTGCAAATACCTGTTTGGATTCGCTCTATAAGGTCTGTCCTAGTACGTCTCATAAGGAAAACCACAAGCCGCCTGGTGCTTAATTGATTTAGACATGTAGCTTGTCTAACAATCGACAGGATAAATCAATTTAACGAAGCTGATATACTCGCTCTAGAAACCAACTGGGAGCGCACTATATGGGAAATTTTCTTCTCCTCGCCATCCTTGCTATAGGATGAAGGCGGCAAATGGTTGGAGTGCTATTAGGGTTCACTCAACCCTCTCTTTCCGGGGTGATGAGATGGTAGGAGTTTCTCTCCCAGTATTATACTCTGGATTTATCTGACCATAATTCGACCTTTATTACTATGCAGGGACATATTGCGGTGGCCAGCGCTAGCGAATTGTACAAAAGCACTGAACAGAGCTTAATTACAGAGTTGAAGAAGGGGTCTACTTCCCAGGCCTGGGAAATCCAAATGTTTACATTGCAAAAACTCAATTTATGTTTGTCGCATAAATAGCAAAATATTTAAAATAAACAAAAAATATCTGAGTATCCTGCAAAGCGTGATTTTCCAGCCAAGAGCGGTTTCATCCGTGCATCTGAATAAATTAATTAAATGTCAATGGTAATCAGTGTTACCAACTTTTTAAAAGGAACTCCCGCCATTTGATTTTAAAACAACCAGATTTGACGGGAAAAAAGCCAAATTGGCAACACTGGTGGTGATCAACAATTTTATTTGTTGTTATTAGTTCTGTTCTTTTCCTTACCCAAAGCAATATTTATTAAGGAAACACATATTCCGGTCTCGTTAGTAGCCTTCACCACATCGTCAACTTCATGTTCAGGATATGGAATCTCAACTGCTTTAAACCCATAAATGTGTGCCTTTCTAATCCGTTCTGCGATTGAAGTTGATGATTCACCGAAAAGAAAATTAAGGTTTGCTGCAAATCTTAGCGTCATTCTGAAATGAAAGATGAAATTTCAGCATGGAAAAGGTCTAATAAACATAACAAACATAACATAATTAAATTTTGTGCAAAGTGCACAATATATCAGACAGAAGAATGTAGGACAGACCCCATCTATATATATATATATAAAACAGTTTGTCCTGACTGACTCATTGATTGGTGAACAACGAACAGGCCAAACGGTAAGAGCTAGAAAGCCGAAATTTTGGCTCAATTATTCTTTCATAACGAGGCGATAAGAAGCGGATTTGGACTCCAACGTTTGTATGAAAAATCCGCATTTTCAACCGATCGATTTCAAACTTAGTTTGTATACACTCACGTTCTTAGCTTTTTCAAATAGACACTCAGAAAACATGTATTCTTAGTTTTTTCTAATAGACTCCAAACTTTGTTTGAAACAAGAAAGGAATGCTAAAGTCGAGCGTGCTCAACTCTTAAATACCCTGTACCTCCCACCAAAAAGGAAAAACAGAAAAAAAAGGTTTAATCAATTTTAAAAAATTATATTAATTATATAATTTAACTATACATGTTCATGTATAGTTTCAACGGCACACATTTACATCAGTATCGTGACTCTGCGTTTTTATATGCATGTATGTATGCAGCACAATGATGAACCAAAGCAGCAACAACAACAACAGGTGCGGGCAGAGCTACAAGCAGAGCATGGGCAGCGATTTTATTTATGGCTAAAACTTTCTTCAGAATTGCCCTATCATGATGAAACTTGGCATACAGACACATAATCACTAACGGGATGTAGTTACCAAATTTTAGTTCAAAAGAATTACGGGAGTTATGGAAAAAACACGAATTGCGGGGGAGTGCGGGTGTATCAGAATAAAACAAGAAAGTCGAGCGGGCTCAACTTTTAAATAGCCTGTACCACCCCACAAAAAAAAAACAATTTAATTAATTAATTTAATTAAATATAAAATATTTAACACATGCATACAGACATAATTGCTTATGAACAATTTCAACAACATAGATTTACATCAGAATCGTGTCTATGCGTGCTTGTATGCAGTAAAAAAATAAGTCAAAGCAGCAACCCCTGTCGGCAGAGCTTGGGCAGAGATTATTTTTATGGCTATAACTTTCTTCATAACTAACCTATCAGAATGAAACTTAGCACACAGAGTACAAAATTCCAAGAAATACGGAAGTTATGGGAATAACACGAATTTCGGGGGAGTGGGGGATACCAAGTTTGGTTATTCTTGCTTTTGTACTTCCTAAGATCCTTGCGTTAATACAGACGGACGGACAGACAGACATGGCTATATCGACTCGCCTTGTCATCCTGATCCAGAATATATATACTTTGTGGGGTCTGTCACGTCTCCTTCTGCCTGTTACATACATTCGCACAAAACTAGCATAGCCTTTCACCCTTTGGGTACAGGCACGAACCTGAAAATGCGATAGAAACAAAAGCAACACGACCAAAATATAATTTAAAGTTGTTTTAATATTTATTTAATATTTATTCCAGTTTTTTGCACAAAGCGCTGCAGCAGCAAATATATTTATGACTATAACTTGTTAAATCGGTCTATCATAGTGAAACTTGGCACACGGACACATAATAACCAACTGGGAGTATTTGCAAAATTTTAGTTCGAAATTCCAAGAATTACGGGAGTTACAATTTGCGGGGGAGAGGGGGGAGGGAGGGAAATTCCAAAATATACATTTTTGGCGCATCTGGGACTAAAATTTTGTGTTCCTAGGTCTTATAGTCTCCGAGATATAGGCGATTATACGAATGGAAAATCGGGAAAACCCCCATAGGGGGGAAGTGGGGGGAGGGGGAATGAAAAAAATAAAACAAACTCGTATAGAATACACACATAAGGCATCTTTGTGCAAAATTTGGTGTCTCTATCTCTTATAGTCTCTGAGATCCAGGTGTTCATACGGACGGACAGACGGACAGACAGGGCTAGATCGTCTCGTCATGGTGATGAAGAATATATATACTTTGTGGGGTCTGCCACGCCTCCTTCATGTACACAAATTGTGGGGGAGTGGGCCTCCTTCTGTCTGTTACATACATTCGCACAAAAGTAGTATAACCTTTCACCTTTGGGTACAGGATATAAAAATTCTATTCATAAAACTTTTATAATTAAATTAAATACAAATTATTCAATACATACAAAGTAAACAGGACTTTTTGAATCTAGCGCCCCCTGGTGGCGCTATCTATATGTTGACTGGTGCGTTAGAATCTGCTATCTTTATCGATTATCCAGTGAGAATTTCATGACATTTCATCGATTGGAAGTGAAGTTATTGAATTTTAAGTGTCAGTATGTTTGTGTTATTGGTGCAAAAATGAGTTTCGAACAAAGAGCCAACATTAAATTTTATTTTAAAATGGTAAAACTTTTACCGAAACGTTTCAATTGATGGAACAAGTTTATGGCGATGATTGCCTATCCCGTAGCAGAGTGCAAATGGTCGTGAGGACATAAATGACGATCAACATGTGGGCCAATCAAAATTCGTGATCACCGAAAATTCCACCGAAACTGTGCGTGAATTCATCAGAAATCAGTCGAAATTATCATTGAAATTGATGGAAATGGAATTGAACATCTCCAAAACATCGATTTATCGCATTGCGACCGAACATTTGGGCTTACGAAAGGTGTGTGCACGGTTTGTTCCGCACAAATTGACTGATGACCAAAAATTGCTCAGAATCGATCGACGCTTGTGACCGATTATTTGACCAAAAATCACATTTTAACCATTGACCACTCGCCGTATTCACCTGATATGACACCGTGCAACTTCTACCTTTTCGGAAAAATGCATTTGCCCATGAAAGGAAAGCGTTATGCAGACGTAGAGGCCATTCAAAAGGCTTGCACCGGCATACTGGCGGTCATACCGGCCAACGAGCTAAAACACTCCTTCGACATGCTTTTGGATCGTGCAAAAAGCTGTATTGAAGCAGAAGTTGACTATTTTGAATAAAATAAATTGATTTTGTCGAAAAAACCATTTGTTCTGTTTTTTTTTTTAAAGTCCTGCTTACTTTGGATATACAAAAGTGGAGACATGTTTATGTTTAACAGCAACATGTTTAACAGCACACATTTACATCAGAATCGTGTCTCTGCGGGTTAATATGCATATTCGTATGCAGCACAAAGTAGAACCAAAGCAGCAACAACAACAACAGCTGCGGGCAGCGCTGCGGGCAGCGCTGCGGGCAGAGCTACAAGCAGAGCATGAACAGCGATTTTATGTATGGCTATAACTTTCTTCAGAATTGACCTATCATGACGAAACTTGGTACACGGACACATAATCACTAACGGGATGTAGTCACCAAATTTGAATACATGATCAAGAATATATGTATTTTGTGGGGTCTACCACGCCTGCCTCTGTGTGTTACATACATTCGCATAAAACTAATATAGCGTTTTACCCTTTGGGTACAGGCTATAAAAATTAAAAGAATTAAAAAAGAATTTGATCGATTTTACCTCTCTCGGTATTCGAACTCACGTAAAGGGTGTATATTTGCACATGTACATAGCAGTTGCGTCTATGTGAGTGTATGCATGTCTTTGTGTGTCTATTCGTATCTGTGCGAACATGTTTGCAGTCAACCAAAGCACCAGCATCAACAACATCTACGAGCAGCGCTTGAGCAGCAAATATATTTATGGCTATAACTTCTTGTTAAATCGGTCTATCATAGTGAAACTTGGCATACGGACACATAATCACTAAGAGGGGGTATTTGCAATTTGAATTCGAAATTCCAAGTATTACGATTACGATTTGCGTGGGAGAGGGGGAGGGAGGGAAATTCCAAAATACACAATTTCTGCGTATTCATATAAAATTTGGAAAATAGGGAAAACCGCAAGTGGGGAAGGGAGGGGGGAAATCAAAAAAATAAAACAAACTTGCACAGCGTACACACATAACGCATCTCTGGGCAAAGTTTCGTGTTTCTCTGAGATGCAGGTGTTCATACGGTCAGACGGATGGACAGACAGACGGACGGACAAATGGGCATGGCTATATCGACTTGTCCTGTCATCCTGATCAATAATATATATACTTTGAGGGGTCTGCCACGTCTCCTTCTGTGTGTTACATACATTCGGATCTCTGCCCGGGTGGTCTAACCCCTTCTCCGCCACACGTGGGAACCTAATATATATACAAAATGAACACTTCAACGCCAAATAAACAAGACAACAAAACAAGCAAGAAAAAAACGGAGCGACGCACAGCGGCTCGGATTCTTCGACGGCTTGCCAATAATGCAAGAGCAAGTGTCGAAGGAGGACTATGAGAAGGTCCAGGAGGACATTCGGTGGGCGAAGCTAGTTGTTACAAATTAATTTTAGTTTGAATTTGTACTGGTTTTAATTTGAATTTGAAAGTACTTGCCGATTAGTTGTTTATGAAACTCTGTAATATTCGATCATTAGTTTAGAATTAATTATCGAACTATCGCGTCAGTATTCAAGACGAAGTGAAAGGATTGGTATGTAAGCGCGTAAAAATATATAATTTGTAAAACAAAACTACTTTATAGATAATAAACCACCACCACAACCGCTCAAGATTTTCATTATAATTGCCAAGTGAAGTTGGGTTGGTTGTCGTTTTCGTTATTCGCGGACCCTTCGGAGACTGCTCAACATTTTTTATTATCAATCGCCGCCATCTTGGGAGACGCCGATCTAGTGCACCTGTCGCCGCGCTGTTTGGAGTTTGTTTTTTGGGCATTGTCTGCCGCCCAGTATTGGACTAATTCAGGAATGTGCATCGCCGCCGCACGATTAAGGAAACCTGAAGAAGTCACGTAAATATCGGAGTCTACCAAATATATCTACGTGCACAGTGAATTGCCTGCCGCACAGTGGTGGATATATAAGCAGTGGTGAAAAAGTTTTGTGCATTGCCCGCCGCACATCGACTCTTATGCCAAGAGTCAGTC